CGATTCTGGGCGTTAGAGTAGGCGTGGCACCCTGCTGAAATAACCTTGCGCTGCGCAGGAGGCCCAGGAATCTAAACGTCGAAGCGAGCTCTTATAGATTCCAAGATCTCAGCGGGTATCAATACTCGTTTTTATACCAGTTACTTCTAGAGTAAAACTAGATTCGTCGGAAAGTATGTAACAGGTAGAAGGAAGCGTTTCCGACCCCATAAAGTGAATATATTCTTCATCAGGATCTCTAGCCGAGTCGATCTAGCCATGTGCGTCTGTCCGTCTGTCCGTCTGCCTGTTTGTCCGTCGGTCCGTCTATTCGTCAGTCTGTCCGTCCGGTTGAACGCTGAGATCTCGGAATCTATAAAAGCTAGGCTATTGGGACATGGCATGCAGATTCCTGACCTTCTTACGCAGCGCAAGTTCGTTTCAGCAGGGTGCCACGCCCACTCTAACACCCACAAACCGCCCAAAACTGTGGCTCCAACAGTTTTGATGCTAGAATAAAAATTGTAACTGAAATGTTTTGGTCTCGTCAATACCTATCGATTGAGCCAAAAAAAGCTTGCCAGCAAGAAGGGTGCCACGCCCACTCCAAGCCGCCCAAATCTGTGGCGCCCACAATGTTCATGATGGAAAAAAATTCTAACTGAAATGTAATAGTCTCGTCAACACCTATCGATTGATTCAAAAAAAAATTTGCCACGCCCACTCTAACGCCCATAACGCTTTAACCTGTCTACCGCCAGGAGGTGGCGCATTTTAATCTCGCCTTGCTGCTTGCATATCTCCATGCCCATTTGGTCCCTTTAGCTGAGTAACGGGTATCTGATAGTCGAGGTACTCGACTATAGCGTTCTTCCTTGTTATACTTCATTTTGAAGTGGAGACTAGATGTGTAAGGACCTACAAGAAAACAAAATTAATAATATGAGAGTTCATGAGGAAATTGATCAATTTATTGTCAATTTATAGGACAGATAATTGGTCAACATTTTCAATACCTTCTAAATACAAAAACTATGTTCATGAATCGAGTGGACATGATCTAAAATATAACTAATTATGGTGAACACTTTCATTTTGTAATTCTGAATTGACGTCGGAAAAGTGTGCCTCCTTCTTCTATGCAAATCTCCGAAACGAAGCCAGAAAATTAATTTCAATATATAATAAAACATGTTCGCGATAACAAAATAAATGAATACACGTATTATTATGCATCAAAATAGACTTCTGACTTTTTATTTCGAGGTAAAATTACAGGTACGGAGGATGGAAAATATTTCCTTTTCGGAAAGTCGGCTACTTGCGAGTTGTTGCGTGGTCGTGACTTCAACCCCTATTATGGGACGTTTTAGAGCAAGCAGTCAGAAATTTCCGGAGTACCACACAGAGCCGGCAACGAAGATGTGGTGCCTTGGAAGCTGTGCATTAGAGTACACATAATCACAAGATTCGGTTTCCCTAAAGTACTAATCACGGACTACGGGGTGCAATTCGCCAATCGAGCTTTCAAGAAGTTCCTAGGCGATATGGAAACAAAGCAACTATTCACGGCACCGTACACTTCCGGCCTGTAAAAACAATTGTAGCACAGTTTGCCGGACAAAACCAGAGAAACTGGGACGAAAGGTGGTCAGAGATTATGATGGCTGTCAATTCAAGCGTATCAGAGTCAACGTGTTACCCACCTTCGTTCCAAACACAGGGCAGGGAGCCGACCGCGCTGCACGACCGGGAAATATTGGGTACAGGAAGGCATGCAGAATCGCCAGAGGGAAGCGTGAACAAATTTAAAGAAGTATTCGAAATTGGCCGAAGAAATCTAGAGAAGGCGGCTCAGGCATTACAATCAGCGACGGAGAAAGTGGAATTCTAGGATCGGCGATATCAAAAGCGGCAGAAGGTTTTGCGGCGGAACTATCACCGAGGTACGTCGGCCCGTAACAGGTTAAAGACTTTACAACTTCCGCAATCTGCAAAATAAGACACCAAATAGGCAAAAATGAACGCACGGTGCATGCCAGCGACTTAAAACATCCAGACCAGGTGGACGATCCAAGTGATAACGGCGATACGAACGGACCACAAAACAGACCAAGAGTCAGTTAGTACGAACACATAAAATAAAAGGAGTACTAGGAGGCATATATAAGCGGGCCCAGTCATCGAGAATAACAACAACGTCAAGAAAAGTCAAAGTCAAGAACACACAGCCGTGAAAGTCAGCAAGGATCAAGATCGATACGTCGAGACGATCGGGACAGGTTAAGTATCCGAATTGGGACACAGGTACCTGAGATCCTTAAAGGTAAATACACAGCTAAGTTGAGTGGAGACTCAGTCGATTGCTGTGAGGACTGCTCTAGCTATGTATCAGGTACGACTGCAATAGTCTTGAGGGAAGGGTAGGGTTGAACGTTCGTCTTTTACTAGGCGTTCTCTACAGGGACTGGTTGCGTAAGCCGGTTGCCCAGAGCGTCAAGAAACCGTTTAGTCGTCAGGACGATGCCGGAGTCAACGGATGAGAGAGGGGAATATACAAAGAGACCTGTCATGTAGTATTCCAGCACATATAGAACCAGCAGAGTCCAAGTGTGCATGGGCAGCGGAAACCGTTTAATTGTCAGGCCAAAGCCGGAGTCGTCGAAGCAAGCATAAATATATGAACAGAAAAATATGTATTAGTAGTGAGGAAAGCGCCACTCTTTTGCAGGCATCAATGCTTGTTTAGCAACTCGATGCTGGTTTCCACACCCGTTACTCAGGTATAGGGAGTGCGGGACTGCACACCACCCAAATATCGCCACCTAGCGTTCAATCATATCGTCTGCATAATATTTTAATTTAATTTATTAAAAAAAAAATTTGCCACGCCCACTCTAACGCCCATAACGCATAAATCTGTCTAATAACCCCATAACCTTATATTGAGATCGCGGGTAGGTGGTGCATTTCAATCTCGCTTTGCTACTGGCATATCTCCATCTCCCTTTGGTCCCCTTATTTCCTTGTTATTTTTATTTTTGAGAAAAATATCATATATACGAGGTGTGTTCAAAAAGTAAGGTGACTTTTCAAATTTCGCGGGCAACATATTTTCGATTATCGATTTTTTGGTTTGTTATGTTGGTACACTCTTCCCCAACATCTGTACCAAGTTTCAATTAAATCCCCTTTTTTGTTTAGTTGTGAGAGGCGTAAAGGTAACAAGTTGTTTTGCGTGCTCAGCGATTATTTGCTATCGAAAAATATGGATCAAAGGACTTGCATCAAATTTTGTGTAAAAAATAAAATTAAGTGCTCCGAAACACTTGAAATGTTGACAGTGGCATACGGTGAAACTGTTCTGAGTAAAAAAAAATGTTTACAAGTGGTACAAACTCTTCCAAGATGGCCGGTGGTGAGGAAATTTTGTAACAGATAGCCATGTCCGTCTGTCCGAATAAACGCCGTGATCTTGGAAAATCTTAGACCTAGAGAGTTGAGATCTCAGATTTATATTTTTTATCACCGTACGCAGCGCAGGTTTCTTCTTATTCTATCTTATAACTTTTTAATGAATTGTCCGACTTGAACCATTCTTGGCATGTACATATATGGGTGTTGATAATAGGAATTAGTTAATTAAAAATTTAAGTTTATAGAAAATATTATACTAAAAACAAGGAAGAACGCTATAGTCGAGTACCTCGACTATCAGATACCCGTTACTCTAAGGGAAATGGAGATATGCAAGCAGCAAGCGTTATGGGCGTTAGAGTGGGCGTGGCAAATTTACGACACCAATACATTTCAGTTAAAATTTTTTATCTAGCATGCAAATTGTGGGCGTCACAGGTTTTCGCGGTTTGTGGGCGTTTAAGTGGGCGTGGCAAACTTTTTTTTAAGTCAATCGATAGGTATTGATGAGAACAATACATTTCAGTTAAAATTTTCTATCTAGCATCAAAACTGTAGGAGTTACAGTTTTGGGCGGTTTGTGGGCGTTAGAGTGGGCGTGGCAGTCTACTGAAACAAACTTGCGCTGCGTAAGAAGCTCAGGAATCTGTACGCCAAATCTCAATAGCCTAGCTCTCATAGTTTCCGAGATCTCAGCGTTCATCCGGACAGACGGACAGACGGACAAACGGACATGGCTAGATCGACTCGGCTAGTGATCCTGATCAAGAATATATATACTTTATGGGGTCGGAAACGCTTCCTTCTGCCTGTTACATACTTTCCGACGAATCTAGTATACCCTTTTACTCTACGAGTAACGGGTATAATAAGGGGGCTCGACTGGCTGCTGAAACAATCTTGCGCGGCGCAGGATGCCCAAGAATCTGCATGCTTAGTCCCAACATGCCATTTGATGCCCTTGCGAGTCAAACCAGCAGACAACGGCCACAGAAACGACAAACACACTCAAAAACATTAGGACCAGCAGGACCGAAACACAGAGTCAACGCGTGGCGACATTAAGACGTGCCGCTTGGCTTATGCAGTGAAAACAGATCATCCTAATTAAGCCACTGAAACCATTGAACTCTGTTCGCTCTTCTAACGGGTGGTCACGTTTGTATAAATTTGGTGGAAGAAGTAGTCTTGTATTTTGCGAAAAAAACCTTTTTCATCTTTAACGGTTAATACATATATCCTGAATACACTCCAAAATTTCTAACCGAGTGTCGCAGATTTTACTGAAATATGTTACTAGTAAATCTAAAATCGCGCAGAACTCTTAGATACATACATATAAACAAGTTCAACCGAACTACAACACTCATCGATTTCTATGGAACTCCGAATTTATATAACTTATCTTAATTCAGTTAATTTACTTAGTAATATTCGTACAGTTTAAACATTTAATTCCGCTGTGTTTCATAAACATTCTCTATTCTAATTCAGTTGAAAGCGATTTCGATTTTAGTATGAGCGGGTAAACTCGATTGGCTCTCCTAAATATTGACAAAATGTTTTTAAGTTATTTAATTTTCGATTTTTCTTTTATTTCAGAAAATATCACACAATCACTACCAACGGAGTATCAAGCACTGATAACGCACAATCCAACTAGATTCTAACAAAATGGGAGAACGATTATACAGGTAACAAATGGACTTCTCGATTCTATTAACTCCAGCACTTCCACTATTCCTCGGATTTGCCCTGTTGTGGTATAATAAATGGCAGCTTGCACAAGGCTTGGGTTATGCGTCCCTTTTTCATCTGCACTGACCTCCTGCAGGAGTTTTGTGGTTTGACTTTCATTTTTCGTTTTGCTTTTCAACACCGCTTCTGCACGAACACCACGAAAGTAAAATTTTTTTATTCTTTGCGCGGCGACCAACGGTGTTCACCGAAATTCACTCGCGAAATCTGTTATTTTTCTGGTATTTCCTTAGCTTACCTGAGTACCGCACTGAAAAACAGACACGACGAAAAGCGTCAAAAGCCGCCCAGTTACCTCTCGCTTATTCCTATGGTTAGCTCGTGGTTTTCGTCGATGTGAGCACTAGGCTTTATCAAAGATATTTTGAATTATAGTTAAAAATAATTCTTAGGCCCCGTTTCCATTATGAACGCGTCGAGTTTGCATCAATTTTCCGTTTAACGCACCCCAAATCGCATACAAAGTTGTCGGAGAGAGGTGGGATAAAAAATTCCGCTTTATTGGGCTGCAAAGTCGATTTTGTGATATTTTCCATCACCATTAACCGGGGATGCCCAAGACAGCTAACAAAAGCGGGAAATGGAATACTGTGCAGGTAATTTGCTTGGTGGCTTGATAAGAACTGCCGATTTGCTACATGCATATCTCAATCCCTCTCGCACTCGATTGAGTTTACTAATTACACACAAACAAAAAATTGAACTTTGTGAAATTTCCACGAACCATTTCTTATTTTTGCAAGATATCTGGGTGCTCCTAAGTAAAAGTCACATAAAAACTTTATTTCCATCACCTAAAGGTTCCGCGGTATAGCTAAGAATACAAAAAACGATGTTTGCTGACATTTCATTTCCCCATAATTGGACTTATCTTAAATATTTTCGCTGAAACACACATTGTCCATGTCTATGGAATTTGACGTCCAAGTTAAGACTCCCAAAATGTTCACAATTTCTCTGATGGAAAACCACCTCTAAAAAATAAATCTTAAATGGAAGTAATTTTTTTTTGTTGGAATATATTGGCCACTGTATGCTTTAATTTCGATTTAAAGCGATTTCATTTCATTATGTTATAAACCCGTTCTTTTCGTAGTAATATCTACTCAAATTTGGAAAGTACTGGCAACATATTGAGTGTGAGTTAACATCTATTTTTTTTATACCCTTTCAGAGGGTGTTATGATTTCAGTCAGAAGTTTGCAACGCAGTGAAGGAAACGTTTCCGACCCCATGAAGTATATATGTATATTCTTGATCATCGTCACTAGACGAGTCGATCTAGCCATGTCCGTCTGGCCGTCTGTCCGCCTGTACGTCCGTCCATTTTTACGCAAACTAGTCTCTCAATTTTTAAGCTATCGGGCTAAAACTTTAGTATACAAGTCGGAACTAGCCTGATGGGACAACTATGTCGTAAAGCTCCCATCGTAATAATCGGAAAAAAAAAATTTTTTTTTAATTATATCTTTGGTGTTTTTTAACATATAACTTCCTACTCTTGGAAATAAAATTTTTAATTTCTTTTGAATTTCGAATTTAATTTTATCAAAATCGGACGACTATATCATGTAGTTGGTGGGAAAATAATATGAAACAAATTATAGCTTCGTGGTTTTTTTACATGTTATCTTATACTATAGGGAATATCATTTTTGTATTTTTAAGAATTTCGAATTAAATTTTATAATAATAACTGCAAGGGTATACAAACTTCGGCATGCCGAAGTTAACTTCCTTTCTTGTTGTACATAAAATACAATTATATTTATTTAAATCGTCTTCGAAATAAAAAATGAAAAATCAGCTAAAAATAAACATTGATTTCGAGATGTTTTGACATCTTTTTTTTAGGACATTATGCTGTTTTAAAAAATTAATATTCCTAGAATATTAAAGATAAGTCGAATTATATGGGCCACATAATTCAAAATGTCGGCAGACATCGGCATTTTTGTATTCGTAGTTATACCGCGGAGCCTGTTGTTGACAAAACACACAATTTTTTTCCTAAGTAAACTAATATTTTTCTTGCCTCTTTTTACTGTTATTTTTTTGCACCTCTTCGCCGTAATCTCGTTAGCCCATTGCGTTTTACCCGTGCGGTTTGTGCGGTTCGTGGACGTTAAAGAGGGCGTGGCGAACTTTTTTTGGTCAATCGATAGTTATTGATGAGAACAATACATTTCAGTTAAAATTTGTACTCTAGCATCAAAACTGTAGGAGCCACAGTTTTGGGCGGCTTGTGGGGGTTAGAGTGGGCGTGGAACCTTTCTGAAACAAACTTGCAGGAATCTGCATGCCAGGTCCCAATAGCCTAGTTTTTATACTTTCTGAGATCTCAGCGGTTATACGGAAAGATAGACAGACGGACATGGCTAGATCGACTCGGCTAGTGATCCTGATCAAGAATATATATTTATACTTTATGTGATCGGAAACGTTTCCTTCTGCCTTTTACATACTTTCCGACGAATCTAGTATACCCTTTTACTCTACGAATAAAGTGTATAAAAACAAATCGAGCTGCCAAGAGCAACTGTTTTCCCGCCCTACTCAGCCCAACTCCCACTTCATGGAGCCTGCAGTGTAGAACACCATAACTAGCTTCCAGTCATAGCTCGCCAGCCAAGAGCACAGTGACCTCGTCAATTTCTGCAGCCGCAGCAACTGCAACAACAACATCAACGGTCTCCGCCACATCGGAAGCGGATTCGGCATGGGTCGTTACATCCAAATTAAGCGAAAGCTTAGCCAGCCAAATAAAATGCGGTGAGCAACCAGGGGCATCTAGTAACAACATATTCACCCTATTGTCGGATGTTGAAAATAATCAATCTGAACCTGGACAAACGGTAAAAAAAAAATTCAAATTCACCAATTGGCATAAGAGAACAGAACTCGAATGCTATGGTAGGTTTAAGGAAAATTTTTGCGCTGGTCAAGAATGACAGAGAGAGAATGATGAGACCATAAAACCCTACTACACTTATCAGCTCTAGTGCAGCAAGGGGTTGAAAGAAGTGTTAAAGGGCATAGAGCCCGACATATCTACCACAGAGATAGTAAAGGTCTTGAAAGAAAATTGACTTTTTGCCAAAAATATTATAAATATAACCAACAGAAATAAAAAGCCGCAGTCACTCTTTATGGTCGAACTAGAGCCAGAGAGCAGAGCGTTGAAGAAAACCGAAATGCAACTGCACTTCATGTTGCATAGGAGGATTACTGTTAAGGATAGAACAAATGGGATAACTGATAAAAATACTATACCGCAAACTACATGCTGCCCAGTCTATAAGAAGCTAAAGAGTCTGCATCAATGAGCAAAGTCTGCACGCCTCCACAATATACAAAATGAGTGCGTGCAATCCTAAACCAAACCTGCCGTTTTCTTTGGGAAAAAAGCCAAATCTTAACTTGGCCCCCTAAACACAAATGGGGTAATAACATACGCCAGTTCCCTGAAAACAGGACTAGGAAATCCAACGGCGATCCCACCAGCTTGGTGCGATGAGCCGACTAGTTCGGCGCCCCGAAGTTTCTGAAACCCTTGCAGGTCATTCCCTTGAGAGCATTGTATGTACAGAGCTTTCCGATTTTTAGAAAACTAAAAACTAATTACAAACATTTTAAGACAATATTCTATTTCATTTTACTACCGTTGGTCCAAGAAACTTGTGAGATGGTTCCGATGACGCCTAGCTGGAGGCGACCAAGCGGGTCGCAGGTTGCGGATAGCGAACGGCCTGTAAGGCCAGCTGTGAATAGCAGTAGGCTAGGTCAAACGGATTCCGCCAGACCGAAACCTCTGCAATAAACAGCCCCGGACAGCCAGCGGGTATCTGTCGCTGTTTAGCGGCAGTACCGTCGATGCGAATTGTTCAGCCGCATTTAAATAGTTGCTCTACACAACCCCTTTTTCCCCAAACGCACAACCTACCTCCTTCCTATCCCACACAACATCTCACCTCGGGCCGGACTAAGGTGTAAATCGGACCGTGCCGAGAGTCAGCCTGGCTGAGGGCCCGGGCTAAAAACTAGCTCAGTCTCAAACGGTGGGCTCAGGGAGATGGCGGCCCCCTGCTCTATTTATCGCCTTACCCGGGCATCGCGGATCTCTGCCCGGGTGGACCTTCCCTTTCTCCGCAACTCGTGGGAATCGATTATGGATACCAATAATTATAAAAATAAAAACACAATGGAGCCGGGCACTCCTAAGAAACCCGTGACGGAGGAGAAGATGGGTGCGACAGGATCTGCGAGCGTTGGCTCCGCCTGTGCTGGCACCAGCTCGGGGGCTATCCCAAAAGGGCCCCACCCCAAACTGGGGGTGATAGGTGGAAGACAGTCGGCCGCCAGCACCTCTGCAAAGTGCGCGCCGGCGCCAAAAACTGCAGGAGGTATGACGAAGACGGTCGCTCCAACCACCGAGCAAAATAAACACACCTATGCGGAGAAGCGGACTGCCGCGCAGACACTCCGCTCACATGACAGGAGCAAGATTGCCAACCCTTCAGCTGAATGGCTGAAGAAGGTGGAATGGGCGAAGACGGTGCTCCCCAACTACGGGCAAGAGAAGCCTAATACTGTAAGTGCACAGCCAAAGAGACAACGATCTCTAGAGTTGCCTGGACCTGCGGCAAAGAGAACTAGGGTCCAACAGAACCTGTCATTTGCGGAGATAGCGCGGGACAAGGTTCTGATTGGACTGGTTGACAAGGGAAACCCCGGAGGCCGGATCCCAAGAAACCAGTGGAAGGCGGTCGAGGAGCAGCTAGCGGCCATCTGCATGGCCTTGCTCCGGGACTTCCCCCAACCGACGCCATGTTGCAAGGACGCAGGCTGGTTCCAGGGCAGCGTCAAGGTGGTGTCTTGCGACAGCCAGAGATCAGCTGACCTCTACAAGAAGGCGACGGAGAAGCTCGGAGAGGTG